AGGATTGGAGAAGAGATGAGGTGGAGGATTGAAGGATTTGTATTGGGTGAAAATGGAAGTGTGCCTTGCTGACTGGAGATAAGGATGATGAAGTGGTGAATGGGTAATGTTGGTAGATGCCCTTTGCAGATTCGAATTTTGGCTGACGGGAAAACTGTGGCGAAAATTTTCGCCACGTGAATTTTTTCCCGCCACCTTGGTGCCACGCGAGCAGCAGCAGCAGCAGTTCATTTCAACACCATGGTGGTCGAATCACTGTAGCCCAAACACCCCCCCCCCCCTTTTTTTTTTAATGCCTGCCAAACCGGGCCCATATGCGACTGGAAAAAAAATGAAGACCAATCATGTGCCTTCACGAAGGTGCTTCTAAACTCAAGATCTTTCCGTGCCGTTGTTTAACGCCGTTAACGCCAGCCGAACAGCATCTACATGATTTCTACTGACTTTGACGAGATTCTTCTAGTTCCCGAGCCTACGTTTGGGCCAGCGGGTTTATAAGGACGTGTCTCACTTTTGCTGGTCCGCCAGTCCGCCTACCCTGGTCCGTCCCTGAATTTGGGCCTACAGAAAAACCCTGGACTGGTCCGTCGGACCAGGGTGGGCCAACCAAGTGAACCAGCTTCGGACTCATTGTTGTTGGGTCCGCAGATCCACTCTACAAGAGCGTGTAGGCGAGAGAGCTGGGTTACCTTGATGCAAGACTGTACAGCACACTTGCGCAGCTTCTCCCTGACGCTTGCGGGCGCCAAAATTTTGAGACAGAGAGAGATGATTTCGTGAGTGTTCGCTAATAGTATGACTGTTCAGGGGTCCGACGTGGACCAGCTCGCTGAACCTGGATATCCTCCCCATTATAGTCCCTTTCGCCCGCTAAAACGAGGGTGCTGGTTTGCTACACCCACGGTCCACATTGCTCAGGAAGCGGGTCCACTGGACTGGTCCCCATCGAACGCATAGAGCCAGGGTGGACCGAGGGATTTGAGACGCCTTCTAACGCCCATAACGCCCATAACTCCTGCCGAACAGGGCCCATACGCGATGTATGGTTGGTCGAGCCACAATTTTTGGTGCCTTCGGTGTACGGCTGTAATCCGCCAACAGCAAGGAATTACAGTAACGATTTCTGACATTCTCCCATCTTCTAGCGACCCGCCTGAAAACCGTGCTGGGTTCACGGGTGTTGCTCCAGGAAGTAGCACGCAAGCATTGGTTGTGGCAATACCCTGAAATCCACTGTTCTACAGCCCAACTCCCCTGGTTGGGAAACAAAAACCGACAGTCCTACTGTACCGCGCACGCTGCCCCCCCCCCCCCCCCCCCCCCCCGAGCCCCGATAACCGACGTGCGCTTGATACTGCAGTCACCGACAATGTGACACGCCAGTGCCGCCAAACCGAACGAATCTGTCAGCCCAAACGCTTTCCTTCCCGCGGCTCGTTCATACACTGTATATCACTCACCGAACTCCCCTCCCCCCACGAATGGAAGCTTCTAGCGATGTTTTTGCTCGCCCCGCCTGCTCGTCACCCCAGTGACCAGTGGTTGCTCCATCCCACACAACCCAACCACCGTTCCAGCCCATTGTAAACCCACAATACCCTTTATCACCGCATCCTTACCATCCTAACCACAACACTTCACTCGTCCGAAGGCGTTTTTCTCAAGCCTGACCTGCATTGCTGTTCGTCACCTTCGCGTCGTGCTTGCTGCTGCTGACACGCCCATCCAATCCATAACGTCCAGTTCGCTCATATCCTCCCCACATAGTGCTGGTTTTGATAAGGGCGCGTCCCCTCCCTCGATCGATCTGCCCTCGATCGACCGAGGGACGTGTACAGTGTCGCAATCGACAGGGTTGCCACATTTCGAGATGGCTAGCGAATTTACACTGGGGCCCAACGATCTTGTTACCTCCCCTGATGACGATCGATGTGCCTGGATGGCCACACCGATCTCGGCTTTTGTAGGATCGAGAGTTTTTCTCCCTTGAATTCTCGATCCCCTTACCCTGGGCTCGAGATCGATCCGCGGCTGTCACCTCCTACCAATCCCTCCCCAATCCTGCGATCGGTGTGCCCGATCGGTTTTTCACGTCCATATCGCGATCGATCGAGGGAGGGGACGCGCCCTAACTTATCCGCACCGTCTGGTGATCTAGTTTCTCCCGTCGCTGTGTCACGTAGTTTGCTCCTACAGTCAGTTCGTGTTCAAGCACTGCTTGTGGGGCTCCCTGTAAGAAAGAGGTCACCTCTACCGCATGCACTTACCCCCTGGTTCGAAGCCACCACTCTAGGACTGTCTCTAAGTCACTGTAGTTAACGTCTGCATTTCAGGAGAACTCGTATACAACGGGACTACCTTGTACGTCTTTTTTTTTTTTTTGCGAAGTTCCGCGAACGTCCTTTACGAAGTTTCTCGAACGTCTCTTTCATAAAGTTTCCCTCACCATGGATCGAGCATCAAGAAGACGCCCGGCGTTGCTTCTCGTCCTTGCTGCTGT